CTTGCTTTTTTTTTTTAGAAAAATAGAAAAAATTTTTTTTAAATGTGCTTTTGTCTACTTTAGTTTTACATGTAAAAAATGCATTCAAGGGCGTTCATTACTAGACCATGCACTAGCTGCAGACAAATAATGAAATTTTCCTCATGTTCGTTTCATTTAGAAACCTCAGTTGTGGTTTTTTGGTTTATTTTGCTTTTGTTCAATATTTTATCCAGTTTAGACCTGAATCTAAAATTGATAGAAGGCAAAGAAGAACATCAACAACAATTTTTTTATTTTTTACTTTTTAAGTTTAGATCATGGGTCTAACAACACAAATTAAAATGAAAGGATACAACTATAGTAACATAGTACAAGGGAACTAAAACGATAGTGTGTTAATTCAACTTAAAAATTTCTATCTCAGACACCACAAGAGGTTCAACTGCAAACCTCAAAACGCCAGGGCTCGAAATTTCGTGTCAACCAATGAAAAGTGATTTTTTTTTTGTTTTAGATCCAATTAGTGGGTATTATCGCTAATTGTTCTATTTTCTTGGTTTCTCGTTTTGATAAAGCTATCCATCGTGTTGATATTCGGAGAATGAAACAAATTGCCTCTTATATTGTTCTGCAATAACTTATGGACACTACCAATCTCCGATATTAACATTATCTGACAAGCCACTATATTAGTTAGACGAATACGCCTGAAGGATATTAACAAAGGAAGTGTACATTAAAATCAACAATCAACAATCAAAAAAAAAAAAATAAGAATTTACGTCAGATACACGACTATAATCCAAATGCAACATAGGCTAAAGGTTAAAAAAAGGATAACAAGAAGAAGAGAAACAACTACCCTTTATGATTATTGGATAAGATCAAAGTTACAAATTGTTCACAACTATCTTGTTGCAATAGTCAATAATCATCAATAATATATATATATATATATATATATAATTGGTGGAATTGATATACGAGAAAATTGACATCACCTTTTATACACATAATAACCCTGTTGTGCGCCTACAACTACGATAATGCAAGATGTTGAGGTGCTTGATATTGCATATATCAATTCAAACTAACTAAATTAATATGAACCAGCCAATCAATTGATTCTCTTTTCGTGGTTCCTTTTCTACCTTTTCGTTTTGTTTGAAAGCACAAATAAATGGCTCTTTGAGTGATCTTACTATTCAATCTAATTAGTCAATTTTATACCATGATTTTGAAACCGGTTCATTTCCTTCCTTTGCAGAAGTGATCTCATCTCGTATATGTCTACATGATTTGTGTGTGTATGTGTGCTTTGTTTTTATCATAGTATTACATACCATTGTGTATAAAAAAAGAGAAAACTAGGAGTACTAAAAATATATTTTTTAGATCCAATTAGAAGAATTACGAAATATTGGATTAATATGATTGGATAATTATTACCAGTTGGTTATTGCCAATCCCATGAAATTATCTATTAACCAACCAACCAACCAACTAACCATTTAATTAATTAATTTAATTGATTAAAATGCAATAATTACATGGAGTTAAGTGTATCCCAATATAATTACAGGAGAAACATAAGAAAACAAAAAAAGAATTAGAGAGAATTTCGACTTTTCTATTTTTCAAATACTTACACAAATAACACAAATGCTTTCTAAAACTAAAACATTGATTCAGTTTTGTGGGTTCATCATTCAGTCCCTCTTTGTCTCGTTTCCCAGCTTCCCTTCCTCCATACCTACCTCGTACTCTGGTTCCTCCCCCCTCCGCCCCTCCATTATTTTAACCAAATTTAGGGTTACTGGATATTTGATGCATATCAATTCAAAACTGCCGATGGGTATGGATATTGTAATTCAAGTCCTATACTAACCTTAACTCGTCATAACTTGTCTTCACGGATAAATAATAGCCCGACTTTTCTAATTCTAATGGTTAGAAACTTATTTTAAAAAAAATTCACATATTCTTCTTGTTGACGAAGAAATAGAGCAAAAAAAAAACACAGAGAGAGAAAGATACAGAGTCAATGAGACAATAGTCATTTTTTTTAAAAGAAACAAATGAACTCAACGTTCATGGCACATTATTAGGATACCCATTGGGAATGTAATATGCATAATTTATGCACGATTCTAACTGAAAAGGATCTAGGAGCAGCATGCAAAGATGAAATTTTTTTTTTTTTTTTTGTTGATCAGGTTTTGTCATTCTCTCGCTCTTAAGCCTAAATAGGTAAGTATGGTCTGAATTCAATTTAATTATTAATACTATACATACGAAGTGTGTTTTAATACTTTTGATAGTTTTCTTCGTAAACAATCATTATTTTACAACCTGAAAAAAAAAACGAAACCATTCTTGGTGTTGTACAATAATGAACATTTAAAATCTCATCATATTATTTGTGGGCTTCGTTTTCTTTTTGTTTGTTTCCTTTTTGTTTGTTTCCTTTTTGTTCAGTTATTTAATTGACGGGGAATTTCACAATTCCTCCTATTTCAGTTATTGTTTTGGTTAAGAATATTTGGTTTCTCATTGTTATAGATCAAAAGAGCAATTGTCAATTAATATCATTTCTTTTTTTGATTTGGTTTTGTATTGAAAAGTTTTGTGAATAATCATCAACAATACTCATAATCATAATCATAATCATAATCAAAAATGTGGATTGTGTTAAAATAACAATTGATTCTTTATTCTTCTACTACTCCCCCTGCCCCCCTCCTGTGTCTCTTCTTATACTATATTTGGTTACTTTTAGAACTCCAGAATTTGTCTTTTCAATTGGTTATTTACTCTTTTTTTATTGAAACAAAGAAAGTTAAAATTCTTGTAACTTTGTTGAATTCTTCTAAATTTAACTCGTCCTTGTATATTATTTTTTAAAATACTTTGGGTTTTGCGTATAATACACCTCTATACTAATACTGAAGAACCAAAGAAGTGACTCTTCTCTTAAAGTTGCAATAATCATTGTGAATCACAATCCAATACATTATCTTGTTCTTTTATAGCTTATTATTATTCTTATTATTATTAGTTGTTTGTTTCATAATAGTAGAACTTTTTTTTTATAAATCTAATCTCGACCTTAATTAAGGTGCCCTGTGATACTCACCCTTTTTTTTAAAGAAATGTTGGTTGTCTTACCTTACCCCTTCTACCCTTTGATCCCTTTTGAATCTGGGAATGTTGCAGTAAGATGTTACTTGAGGGTTTTAATATTTATCATTCCATATTGTTGTCAATCAATGGATACATTTCAAATATTTACAATTTAAATCGTAATGTGATATCTGGTATTTTCTTTTTATTTTGCATTACATGATTTTGATAACTGGTGATATACAATATTTAAACTATATCTATGTACAATTCGGAGTCCCATATTTGCGTCTCATGTACTCCTTAACACTAAAAGGAAAAAAAAAAAGAGATGTCTTGAAAATATCGTGACATGTCAAGTCATGTCATGCCAATCTAATGTGAGATTTTACACAAATCTATTCAACTTGTTATTGTTAATTGTTAATTCTTGATAACAATGATGTTGAGCACATGATCGGGGAGAAGAGGATTGTAAATGTAGTTATTGTTTATTGTCCTATTTTTATTTTTATTATATTGTTCAAAAAATTGATTGTAGTCGTCTACTCACAAAATAAAAAATTTGACTTCTTGTTTCCAAAATGAAAAAGTTACATATTTGAAAGGAAAAGCCTTTCATTCCATCGTCAATTACCATTAATACATATAGACATCGTTATTTATTATTGAAGATCATTATTATTATTATTATTGCATTCATATTAACAAAAAAACCACTGAAATGCAACATGAAATCTTACGATTTTTATTTTATTTTGGAACCTCTACAAAATTAACGTTCAACGTATTTCTCCAGAATATCACCATAGAAACAAATACAAAATCTATAATCAGTTTCAAGATACAATACTATTAAGTTTAATTTTAATGTATCTTAACATTTAAATTAAAGAAAAAAAAAAGAGAGAGAAAGAAGATGTAAAGTTTTCTCTTTATGGTAACATAATTGTAAATTCAATTCAGGGGCGGGAAACTGTGGATCTAAGTATGGTTGTAATTGAGTAAATGGGTGAAAAAAGTAAAATGATTTTTACTACATTCATAAGAATGAAAGAAAGAAAGATTAATCTTTATCTTTATGTTTATCTTTATTTTTAGTATCTCAATTTTCACTTTCTTCATTTAATGCTTAATGGTTAACCTTTTTTTTTATGTTTCTTCTTGTATAAGGGTAAATCTTATCTGTACAAGATCATTTAAACTCATTCATCTAATAAGATTAATTTTAATAGTTTAATTTCTTTTAGTTGTCAAGATCAATGGCTTATTGTGTCTGTTAATTTAGATGGGATGGAATAGGAAATACTGTTTTGTTTCTAACTTTAAAACAGATATTGATATTGCGCTTTATGGGGTTGAAATTGTCTATTCTTGAATAGGCTCTCTTTTTGTTCTTTCTTAAGGTTAAATCCGTCCTGTAAACAATAATGTATGACAATAATAACAACTATATATTTCATGTAATTACTAAAATGAAATAGACTTAGGCCATTATATAGTTGAAGTTTTGCAGTAACAATAGAGCCATAAATTTATATGGGATTTTCCGTCTCATACATTAATAATAAAAATAATAATAATAATAATAAACTAAATACCAATATTGCAGAAATGAAAAATCAAAAAAAACAAAGAACGTACAAAATTAAACTATACAATTATTTCTTGTTGCTTGGTGCAGTGGCTGTGGTTCCAATTATATCTTCATCTTCGCTATCAGTAACTAAAAATGCATCGGAATTAGCATTTTCAGTTTCCAATGGTTGCCATTGTTTCTTTGAGTTGGTTTCTGTCTCTGCCGAGGTAGAATTTTTTGGTCTGGATGGCAAGGATGGAGTTTGTTCATTGTCATTATCTTGCAATCTAATTCTATCATGAAAATCATTACTGATAATTTCTGGATCTTCATCAAATCTATTAGACTTTCTCTTGTTTTCATTGAATGAGGAACCTCCAAGAGCACCAAATAATTTTGGATTTTCAGATTGTTTCTGTTGTCCCTGTTGATCACTATTTCCATCAAATCTTTTAGCCAAATTACTAACCCATCCATTTAAAGTAGTTCTAGCTTCTTCCAAACCTTGGGTAAATGTTTCTTTAATTTGTTCAAATTCATCAGGAGAATCATCAAAATCTTCATCACTACGACGTGGTTGGTGCAGTCTGTTTTGTTGTTGTCTACGTCTTTCTTGAGACTTTCTTCTGTTTCTTCTATCCTCTAATTCAAATTCTTTTTGCAACTTTCTGGCCAACAATTCATCGTCGGTCAATTCATTGGTGTTCTTCTTGGTCAAAACATTTGGTTCAGCTACTGGTTTGTAAACTGGAATTTCTGGGTTTAAATGAAGGATCTGAGATATACAACAAAGCATTAAATGCTGGATCTGGGTTACCTTGAGATGCAATCAAAGTGGCAGTAACTAATTTCTCTTCAATATTTGGGAAAGCTGCTTTCAATTCATCAATGACTTGTTGAACTGGATCCTTTGGTCTTGGTGGTTGTGGTGGCGCTTTGTCATCATCGTTGTCATCATTGATTGGTACTTCTTCAGTGGCCCCAACATCATTCTTGAAGGACACAGATTTACGTTCCTTCTTAGATCCATCTGGAGATACTTCCTTCTTAATTTCAGGCAATGGTTTCTCATCGGTAGATTTCACATCTTTTTCCTTGTCATCACTTGATTCCTTTTTCAGTTCGTCTTTATCAGATTCTTCAATCTTCTTATCGTCAACCTTGTCGGTAGAAGTAGCAGTGGAACTTTCATCTCCTTTTGTTGAATCATCAATTGAATCAAGTGGTTCAGAAGCAACAACTTTCAATTCTTCGTTTTTCTTACTCATGATATATCTCTGTTGTGTATGTCGTCAGACGTTAATAAATAATGATCTGATTGTAAAATGATATTCGTGGCTCGAACTTTTTGTATAATATTCTTTTTTTTTTGCCCTCTCGATTTGTCAATGATTTTTCCCCTTGTGCTGTGTATTGCCCACTTTTAGAATTTGCCGAACTTATGGGAATTTCACACGACCTCTTCCTTTTCAACCTTGAGACTATATAAAGCAAAAAAAATTTTCAAAGTTCTTTTAAACAATTTTCTTTTTCTTCTTCTTTTTTCCTTTCTTTGATAGTAATTTAATTAAAAACTCCGAATTATAGCTAGAGCTTTATATTTTATTCTTCCTATAAATACTAAAGTGTGGACAGCGGAGGCAAATCAATTATGAACTTATAAGTTTCAGGAGAAAGACTTTATTTGTCTTTGAAATATTTGAGGATAGTTTTCAAATATGAATGAACTTGTAAGTTGTACATCTTTAATGGAATAGTTTGTGCCATATGTAAATATAGTAATATGAATTCTCTATTAGTACCCCTTTCATTGAAGTGTGACCCATGATTTCATTACATTCCAACTAGATCAAGAAGATTTTATCCAACCTTCCATGAGCTGTTTTTCTTCTCGTTGTACACGTCAATATCAATTACAATCCTAAATGTGCTAGTAAGTAACAGTATCAATTGATCTACGACTCATAAACCCATTTAACATTTACATTGATAATAAAGAGAACGACAATAGTTTGGATGCCATCTTGTCTATCAGCAACCCACTAGATTCACAATTATATAAATAAATGAATAGTTTGTGTTTATTATTTTTATAATTCTTTAAAATAAGTTAGACATCAAAACATTTGTTTTGTCTGACTATGTTTTCAATCTTTGTATAAATATATTCTCCTATAATGACATCATGACAATAAAAACAAAAAAAGGGGGTTTTATCCTTCATGGTAAGGTATCTTTTGTTCATGGTTATTTCAAAAACATTTCATCTTGACCTTATATTTGCATTACTTTATCAATTCAAGTTCCAATATAATTTTAAATAATTATTGACTGGCTTCTTTCAATTCTTTTCTTCTTCTAATCAAATCCAAATTTTCACATTCTTCCCAAGCATGTTTATCATGTTTACAACTAACTGATGAATTAGCAGATTGTCTGAAAAGACAAGTTTGATAAAGAGCAAAATAAGCAGCACATCTATCTCTCCATTTTAAAGGAACTTTATATTTTTGACAATCATCTTCGGAAACTATAAATAATAATTGTTAGTAATTAATTATTCTTCTTTTTAGATTCTAATAAATGAAAAATTCAAAATTCAAAAGTCATAAACATGAAAATATACATACGAAGTGGTGGGAATTCTGTCACTGACATTGTTATGTTTATATGTATATATATGCTAATTGGATGGTGAATAAATAATTGTCTCTGATATTTCAGTTCATTTTATTAATTTTTTTTCCCTCTTTTTTTGGCTTTCTCAAAGTATTGGTTGTGTTTGGCAGAGAGCCAATAAAAATCTCTCGAAAGTCATTAGTAATATGCAGGAGAATTCAAAAAAATTGCAACTCACTATTCAATCATCAAAGAACATCCCCAGTATGATCATTGATAATAGTGACTTAAAGAGGTGGATTCAACTGGTTATTGATGGCTGAAAAGGGTTAGTACGAATATCTTTTCTGTAAAAGTCTACACCATTTCTCTACTAATCAGTTTCGTCCAAATTTATCTGAACGATCAATCATTACATTGAATAATACTTCTTTTACATGTATTAAAATGTTCAAATATAATTTTATAAATAAACAAATAATGATAAAAATCCAACAAACTTCATCGGAAAAGTTTCCTTATTTCATGTAATAGTTAAAACAAAAAAATGAAAAACCATCCCCATACCATCTGTTAGAAATCTAAATAAATGCTAAAAATCTTTGAATATTTAAAATATGATAATATTCACTCCCTAGTACTTTCCTGACTCTTCAAATAAAATAAATAATCACCATCATCAACTTTCTATATCTCTCGTTTTGTTGTCTTTTTTTTTTTTTCAAAACTCTGTCAATTATTGGGTTTGTTTAGTATGGTTGTCCAATCTTTCTTTCAAAGCTAAATATTGACATTTATAAAATTCATCTTTAGTTTTACTACAGAAGGTAGTACCACGATCAAGACATTTATAATAGTTAATTAAATGAGCAGCACATTTATCTCTATGGAAGAATGGAACATTATTTTCATCTAATTCTGCTTGGGAAGCTATTTAAAAAGAAAAAGATCAACATGATTTGTTAGTAAATTAGTTCTAGCTTTTACAAATGATAGGATCTCAGTACTCATTATATTATTAATGAAAAAAAAAAACCACATATCAAATAATTGAAATATACATACGAATTGGTGGGTATTCATATTTTTCTGCGTGTGCCATATTGGAAATGTTGATAATTATATAATGTCAAACTAGAAGAATGATATTGGTTCTTAGTTTTTTTTTTTTCTCTGTGTGTTTCCAGTTTAGTTGGAACAGTTGAGAAAATCAAATTTTTCAATTGGTGAAAGTGGGAACCCACACACACACACACACACAAGCTCGTTTTTCAAGCAGAGAGTTAGAGTGGGTTGCAAATACACAATAATTTAACCAAACTAAACCTGGGTTAATTTATATTCACTTTACTATACAAGTTTGAATTAGAAAGAAAAGGTCGGAACTAAACGAATCTATATATACAAAAAAAAAAAGAAGTAAATTGGCAGCAACAAAATAATGGAATAAAACGAAACAAAATTAAAATGAACAATCAAGTACTAGAAATTTAAAAATACAAACAACCCTTCCCCTAAATCTTAACAAATATTAATAAAAAAATAACCAATAAACTGTGGATGAATGAAATAATAAAATAAAATGAAATACCTCCTAATTTTCTTTTCCTTTTCTGTATATATATATATGTGTGTGTTACTCCGTGTGTGTGTATGTAGTTTGCTTACTTTAACTTATCAAACAAAGTGAGTGCTTTATACAAGGAATTCATACATTCTTCTTTCTTATCTCCATTCTTCAATTGATTCTCAAAATCTTTAGAAACCTGGGCTAATGAAGGATGGTATTTCGACCAATTAATAATTGGACTTTTAACTATATTACTCGGTTTTGGTAAATGCAACTCATTATTAACTAATTTAAGGAAAAATTGTATGGTTTCCTCTTTGTTGTCATTCGATAAATAATAATCCTGTAATTTCGATAACTCTATAATATCTTCATTAATCTGTGAGCTCTTTAGTTTGGCCATTCTTAATGCTGACGTCAAAGTGATGTAATCCACATTCTTATTTAATTGCGAGTCTGTGGTGGTACTGCAGCTGCCAGCATTTGCGAGGGACGGAGTTTCATTTGTAGTTGTTTCCTCCGTGGCGGCAACAGTGTGTGTATTATTGGATTCATCATTTATAGATTCTGGAGGTGTTGCTGGAAATGAAGGGTGCACTTCATTATCTTGTGGTGGTTCATCTTCCAAACATATGGCTGGTGGTGACGATCGTTGCTGAGGTGGCGATGGTGGAGTTACATAATTATTATATTTTTTCAGTCTAGTAACTGGCGTTTTCTTATCTCTAGCTGATGGCAAAGGTTTGAAGGATACAATTCTTGATTTCTTATGAGTATTAGAGATATCCTCTAACTCATTCATCTTTCTTTTGTTATGTATCTTCATTTCCCTTATGCTAGCTGCCATGGTGAAAAATGTGTCTGTTGTAAAAAAAAAAAATTAAAAGGCAAAAAAAAAGGAGTAGAATAATGAAGAAAGGAAAAAAAAAATTGAGCAGAAAAAAAAAAAAAGAGTAAGACAGCAATTCTGTTGAAATCTCACTCAGCCGACAAAAAGAAAAACAACAAAAACAACAACAACACAACAACCATAGAAAAAAAAAAAAAGGAGGAGAAGAATGACAAAATTTGATTGATATATACTTTTAAACTATTTTGGTTTATCTTATTCAATAAACACCAATTGCAGTCAACAACTTATACAAATCATAATCTTGATGTTAATTCATGACTCGAACCTGTTCTTACTAGAGTATTATCTTGTATAGGCTTATGTATCCTACAAATGCTAGACCATACTTCTCCTCAATTTGGTAAATAATTCTGTCACGCATTTTTCAGTCTTTAAATAAATAAAAAAAAAAGGAAAATAATAAAACATCGTGTTAAAAAATAACTCAATTTTTTTTTTTTCTTCCACGTCTTTTTCATTAAAAAACTATTTTATTTTGTGTGTCCAATCTAACGAGACAACGACTAATATAAACCTACAGGTATGTACAACTTGCACGCCTATTTCCATAAAGTAGTGTAAGAAATCAATTTTCATTTATAAAGAATCTTATCTTATTTTCTATATACAAGAATCACAAACTGTACGATACTATTTTATTTTTGTTTTGGTGGAGGCAAGTCTTTAGTGTTTCCTTTGACAAGCCCAGTAACTTTCTTAACGTCACTTCCAAATTCCTTAGCTGCCATTTTATATCTCCAAAATAAACCATGTTCTTTTCTCAATTGTTGTTTCTTCTTTTTCATTTCACGATTAATTATACCAAATTGTTCATCATATGGCACACCGGCTTCAGCTTCTTCAAGTGTTTCTTTTCCAAATAAATAATCAAATACTCTACCATCGGCCCAAAAGAATCCTTTTCTATCAACGATCCAGTTCTTGGTTTTACCATTTGGCAATTGTTCAGTCAACACAAAGTAAAAGAACCCTTTATCAGAAGTACCATAAAATCCTTTACCAGTCCAAACTCTAGCTGTCTTACGTCTAGTTAAACTGGCTAATGGAACTGTGTAAACTGGAGTGGGTCTTCCTGGAATCAATGGATAACTTGTAAACTTAATGTGTTCGACTGGACCAGGGAGATAATAAATACGTCTAACCATTCTTGTAGGGAAAGTGGCAGCACCATATGCTAATAAGAACAATGAACTTGAAGGAATCAAATATAACAATAAGGAAAGAGCCCAATCTCTTTTACGTATTTCTTCTTTTTCTTCCTTTTCATTCTTTTCATATTCCGAATTAGCTACAAAAAATGCCCATTCAAAAAGAACACTTCCATAAACCGTGAATACAATCGCAGCACAGAAACACATTAAAAAGTACAATCTATGTGGTTCACTCTCGTAAATCAATTCAGGTTTGACTTTATTTTTCAATATTCTAATAACTTGTCTAAATGTATAATCTTTCCCTACTTGTGGAACACCAGGACGTGGTAACAATGTAGGTACATTTTCTTTTCCTAATGGAAATTTAGGGATTCTTTCTTTGACACTATCCTTTTGTACTTGTTCCCCTGGAATATGTAATTTTAAATGTTTCCATTCTCCTTCTGAAGGAAGTGATTTCTTAGGAATATTACTGGCTGGAAGATGACTTTTCTTCGGTTGTTTTTTCAGTGAAGGTACATTTGATTTAAATCTCAAAAAAAGTGCAGGTTGAACAGAAACACGGGGTATACTTCTTGTTAACCCTATTCTTGGTATTAACAGTATCATTGTTTGTGGTGTTTTAAAGCGGTCTTTGATAATTTAAAATCATAAACAACGAAAATTTTTCAGTCTGAGAGTTGGACCAGAGAGAGGGAGAGGGAAAGACAAATTGTGAAATCTTAAACTACGCACAGCTACTTTCAATTTAGCACCAACGTTTGGTATTCAACACTACAGAATATTATATTGATAATACGGATAGAAGATCTATTGGAAATCATTAGTTATATGCATTAGTACCCATCTTACAGTTATCAGAATATTAATTCGATCATGGAGAATTTTCTTCATTCGTTGCCGCAAAAAAAAATAGCCAAATACTAGTGACTTGAAATAAAACCACATTCAAATTCTTCTATTTGGCACGCTTTAACTGGACAGGGCGTTGTCCTATATACTTACCATTCATCTCTTGAAAAGCATGTAAGTAGTCTTCTGATTTGGCAAAGGAAACAAACCCATAGCCTTTATTTAGATTTGTTTTCCTATCTAGTGGTACATATACCTGACTCATTGATTTATACTTTTCAAATGATTTCTTTAATAATTCTTCATCTCCATCGGGTCCTAAATTACCTATAAATAGCTTAAAATGTTTTGGATTCCATTTGGGTGCAGAATGTGAATGTAGATTTGGTTTTGAATTTGAGTTTGATGATGATGATGAAGCCGGCACTTGTTTTTGCATTGAATGTAAATAACTAGCTGCTTTTTTAGCACTTACTCTACCATTAATGACCTTTGGTTTCTTTACCCCTCCTGATTGTTTCATTTTTTTATATATATTGGTGGTTGTATATGTACACCATAGTGTGTGCTATTTTATTTTTCTCTTTATTCACTTGTTTCTCATTTTGAAGTAAACATCATCATCATCACCTCAATCGCATTCTAATTTTTTCAATTTTTTTTTTGTTGTAAGAAGCATTCATATCAATTACAAAAACAACTTCATACAATAACATGTTTATATTATCAGAGATATCCGATTTAATCCGTATACCACCTAGTTCATTTAATACTGATATACGAGTTTCATTAAGTGATGAGCTTCATAAAAAATATTCCAATAAAATAATTGCCAATCTAGGTCTTGCCATATCAGTTTGGGATCTACTTGATATTAAAGATGGTTTATTAAAACCAGGTGATGGTGGATCATATGTTGAAGTTAAATTTAGAGCATTGGTTTGGAAACCTTTCAGAGGAGAAATATTAACTGGTTGGGTAACTGAATGTACAGCTAAAGGAATTAAAGTAAGATTAGAATTTTTTGATGAGATTTGGATTCCTAAAGAATTTTTATTTGAAAATTGTAGATTTTCTGAACTGGAACAAGCTTGGATATATTCTTTGGATGAAAATGAATTATTTATTGATATAAATGAAAAGATTAGATTTAGAGTCGAAGAAGAAATTTTTTATAATGTTAAACCAAAGACAAATAGTGATATTGAGGAAGATGAAGAAGAGAAAGCAAAAAATACATTACCTCCATACTCCATAACAGCATCCTGTCAAGATTATGGTATGGGATGTGTTTCCTGGTGGGATTGAGAATTTGCGGACTTTCGTCAAACATGTTTGTTTGAATGTGTCTTCATTACGTCTATATAGAACTGTATAAATACATACAATGGATTAGTTATATTGCATATATTGACTTGTCGAACTGAATTTCAAGTTACCCTTAATGACTTTATCAACTGCTTTTAAGAAATCCTTTTCATTGGCAACCTTTCTTCTAGCTCTTATAGCAAACATACCTGCTTCTGTACAAACTGATCTCAATTCAGCACCAGTGGCATTAGGACACAATCTAGAAATCAATTCCCATCTAATATCCTTTTCAACACTCATAGTCTTGGAATGAATACGGAAAATATTGGCTCTACCTTCTAAATCAGGCAAAGAGAATTCAACTTTTCTATCAATTCTACCTGGTCTCAATAAAGCTGGATCCAATGTATTTGGTCTGTTTGTGGCAAACATAACTTTAATATTACCTCTTGGATCAAAACCATCTAATTGAGTAATCAATTCCAACATGGTTCTTTGAACTTCATTATCCCCACCAGCACCATCATCAAATCTTGCACCACCAATAGCATCAACTTCATCAAAAAATATAATACATGCTTTCTTAGTTCTTGCCATTTCAAATAATTCTCTAACCATTCTTGCACCTTCACCAACATATTTTTGCACCAATTCAGACCCAATCACACGAATGAAAGTTGCATCAGTTCTGTTTGCAACGGCTCTCGCACACAAGGTCTTACCAGTACCTGGTGGTCCATACAATAAAATACCCTTTGGAGGATCAATACCCAATTTAACAAATCTTTCTGGACTCAACAATGGCAATTCAACAACTTCTCTTAATTTTTCAATTTGCTCTTTACAACCACCGACATCGTTATATGTAACATCCGGTTTCTCTTCAACAGTCATCATGGTAACAGAAGGATCAATTCTTGGTGGTAATGGCAATTGAATTTCATACTTGTGTCTATCAACACCAACTCTCATACCTTCTTCAACATCAGTAGGTGAAAGTCTTTCTCCCAATCCTACCACAAACTTGGCTATTTGTTTAATATTAATGACATATTTGGATTTGGTATCAGCATTTTGTATAGCTGTAGGTTGCAGTGGTTGGGTGGCTTCAATGATTTTAGTACATCTAGCAACTTGTAAACTTTGTTCCTCCAGCATACGCTGTTTGTCTCCAAGAACATCCCAAAGATGAGGTGGTGCTAGCCCTGTATCACTTTCTTTTATACCTTGATTGGTCTTAATTCTTTCCTCTATTGTTTTTAAATCTTTTTCAATTTGTTTTAATGAATCAGCGTATGGTGCAGTACCATATGTTTTCAAAACTTGAATATCACCTTCTGTCAAAGGAGTGATCTTATCTTGTACTTCATCCTCAGATGGTGCGACATATTTATCCCAATCTTCTTTTGGTGGCATCTCTGTTCAATTGATAAGTTGTTTCTGTTGTTGTAGGTATTGTCTACTAATGAAGTAAAAAAAAAAAAAAAAACTACTTAACCACGACGAGTGGCAATTTTCTGTGGAAGGAGATTTTTCTAATTTTCCTGTTCGACACCAGAAAATAAAAACATGTCGCAATGTGAAAATGTCGTGCAGATGCTACCAATAACGATTTACTTATATTACACTATTACCTTTTGGACAAACTAATCTAGTACCTACGAACAGTTGGAGGAACTGGTTTACAATCCCCATCATCTAATGTGGTCTTGATTACGTCTCTGTAATCCAACTTAACCGGGTCGTTCACATCTTTTTGGTAGGATAAAGTATGCTTCCACCAGTTAACGTCATCTCTATCTGGGTAATCCTCTCTTGAATGTGAACCCCTTGATTCTTTTCTAGCAGCTGCAGATACTGCAGTTTGTGTGGCACATGTTAATAAATTCTGTAATTCCATGGTCTCAACCAAATCGGAGTTCCAAATCATTGAACGATCAGTCGTCTTGATATCTTCAAATGATTTATTTACCTTTGTCATATGATCAACACATTTGTTCAAAGTTTCTTCGGTTCTAAATACAGCACATCCACTTTGCATGGTTTTTTGCATATCTAATCTAATTTCAGCCGTTGGTTTAGTGCCAGCGGCAGTTCTCAAATGATGCAAGTTTTCAATTGATTGCTTACCAAGATCAGCAGGAGAAGGATGTAAAGGTGCATTCGGAGTCAATGTGTCTCTGATGGTATGAGAAACAGCTCTTCCAAATACAACTAAATCTAATAACGAATTAGCCCCCAATCTATTGGCCCCATGGACAGAAGCACATGCGGCTTCACCACAAGCCAATAACCCTGGAACAACCTCATCTTTACCATCTGGACCCATTTTTAATACTTCACCTTTCCAGTTTGTTGGAATACCACCCATATTATAATGCACAGTAGGTAGAATTGGAATTGGCTCTTTCGTAACATCAACACCTGCAAAAATGTGTGCAGTCTCAGAAATACCTGGTAAACGTTCTTTCAACACTGCAGCGGGTAAATGGTTTAATTGCAAATACATGTGATCTTTTTCAGGACCAACACCCCTACCTTCGTTGATTTCCATAGTAATAGCTCTTGAAACAACATCCCTGCATGCTAAATCTTTAGCAGATGGGGCATATCTTTCCATAAATCTTTCACCTTCTGAGTTGACTAAAAACCCACCTTCACCTCTAGCACCCTCGGTAATAAGACAACCTGATCCATAGATACCTGATGGGTGAAATTGAATGAATTCTAAATCTTGTAATGGCAAACCGGCTCTTGCAGCCATTGCATACCCATCACCAGTACATGTGTGGGCCGATGTACAGGAAAAATATGCCCTTCCATAACCTCCAGTAGCAATAACTGTCTTGTGAGCTCTGAATCGGTGCAAAGTACCATCTTCTTGGTTATAAGCAATGACACCAACACATTCTCCATCTTGCATAAGTAAATCCATAGCAAAGAATTCAATGAAAAAATGGCAATTATGTCTCAATGCCTGTCCATATAAAGAATGCAACAATGCATGACCTGTTCTATCAGCAACGGCACAAGTTCTATAAGCTTGACCACCTTTACCGAATTCTTTGGTCTGACCCCCAAATGCTCTTTGATATATTCTTCCTTCTTCATTTCTTGAAAATGGAACACCATAATGTTCTAACTCATAAATAGAATCAGGCGCCTCTTTTGTCATATAATGTATGGCATCTTGATCACCTAACCAGTCAGATCCCTTGACTGTATCATAAAAATGCCAGTGCCAGTCATCTCGATGCATGTTTCCTAATGCGGCATTGATACCTCCTTGTGCAGCAACAGTATGGGATCTTGTGGGAAATAATTTACTTATACATGCTGTTTTATATCCAGATTCAGCTAACCCAAATGCTGCTCGTAATCCTGCTCCTCCTGCTCCTACCACGATACAATCATATTCATGGTCAATGACAACATACTTTTGTTGCAAATATTTAGAAGTGTTTAGCTCAGAACCTTTGATGGAACCAATTGTTTGACAACAAGTAGTAGATGTAGTAAACAAACGTCGAGGTAAAGACGTAATTCTTCTTGCGTTTCTCGAAATTAACATTTATATGTGGAGATCTTGTTTGCCTGTTGAACCATTGGTTGAAATCATGAAAACAAAGTACGCGCGTGTCGTGCCAGAAAATGTTTTCTGTTGTTTTGGAACTTATACACGACATTGCGAAATTCCCTGTTCTGTTTGATTTTATTTCGGTTATACTATATTTGAATAAGTTTATAAAGGATTGAATTTCCCCCAATCATGGGAAATTTCAGTTTATGTAGAATTAGGCAAATTAGAATATAAATTAGTGTTTTATTGTGAATTGAGGTTTTATCCTCTATCCTTATATATTCACTTGTTCTAAGTGAATGCCTCCAGACTATTACTCATCACAAGTGTAATCTTGTGAATGCTGCTTAACATTGTCATTTGTGATATGTTATCTATGGGCATTTATGGTGAATTAATCTAATCATAGGTTTGGTTTCTGCTCAAACAGTAGTTTCAAGAATTGTATGTTTTAAGCACTATTCAAGACAATTGATTGGTAGTGTATTTTGTTCACTTTCAAGAGGAAAATGTTTCTCAGTGACAAAAATAATGGTGGTCCCTAGCAGGAATCTACTTGATTTGATGCTCAATTGCTGGTCAATATGAGTTTTTGAGAGACCTTAACTGATAGATGGTAAGATCACCAAAAGTTGGAGGAATTCGAATTAGCTACTCGGAGAACTTTGACGAATTTTACTAAAGTCTGTTTTAAATTTTGGTAAAGCACTTCCCACGTGGAGAGGTGTTAATTCCTACTAGGCATATTCGGAGACTGATCACCCCGATAATGACTAATTTTTTACAAATAATCCAGGTGAATTGGAAGTATTCACTATCTGGAAATAATTGGCTGCAAAAAAAATGATTGCGCAAGCCTAAGAAAAAATCCCATTGTAATCACTGATTCTGTTAATATCCTATGATTTGCCAGATGCTGAAAAATCCCGCAACTTACATTGTGAGGAGTCACTCCTATTGGTGATAAGGTGATTCTGTTATCTAGCCAATGAAGGTTAGGAAATGGAAAAGATAGGATAAACCGGAAAGATTAAGTGGATTATCTATGCGGGATTTATTTTACAAATGAATTACTACTTGATTAATAATTGATAAGGAAGATTATTAATGATTTAGTAAAGTTGGATGTGTTTATTACATCCTTACAAAGTTTATCTTCTGTTTTCTTCCATAGATAATTGGGAGAAATAGGGGATAATAGTTTAGTGATTGGAATTGACGAAGTCGAGGTATAAATTGAGGAAGAAATCCGTGTTGAAGAAAACTTATTTTTGAGAATTCAATAAGCTAATATTAATCAATATTAACCATAACAAACAACCAAGAAACTTAGAGTGGGAGATTTGGTATTGGCGAAATCGCCCCTAACCAAGGATGATAAAGTTCCAATTGATAAGATAAGTCCGCGTTGGAGTGGTCCATATCGGATAGTTAGTATTGATGAACAATGGTATAAACTTCAATCCTTAGAAGGTATTCCTATAGCTACAACCTTTACCAGAGGAATGCTAAAGAAATTTTTTCAGAGGAAACAACAGAAGGGTATAAAAGGACAAGTAAATTCTTCTAAAATTCAAAGCATCAAATAAGAAGTTGGAAAATACATTCATCAAAATTGTGAATAAAAAGTTCTAAATATCAAACTACCATCCAAAAGCAACAACATGTCCAAGTCAGATAAAATTGTCAAAAGAAAGGTCTCTACTGGACCAGCGTTGAACAATATTGTGGTTAGGATTGCTAATGTTAACAATCTCAAAATTGTAAATGTGAAACCGGAAGGTCCAAAGAAACTGATCCGTAAGGAAACAGTTGCTGATGTCGGTCAGGATGATGAGGAAAGGTATGCGGTCGAAGAAGATGATGACGAACACCACAGTGATAGTGAACAAGAAGGTGGACGTTATGATGACAATGGTGAACAAACCGAGGGCCAAGACCACCAGTACCACGATGGGTACCAAGCTGGTCAATACCAGCAAAGACCAGAGAACAGAAGAATGTCACGTCAATAGGAAGATTTGGGGATATTTGTTTTTTTTTCAAGGGGGAGCTTGTCGTGCCAGAAAATGTTTTCTGTTGTTTTGGAACTTATACACGACATTGCGAAATTCCCTGTTCTGTTTGATTTTATTTCGGTTATACTATATTTGAATAAGTTTATAAAGGATTGAATTTCCCCCAATCATGGGAAATTTCAGTTTATGTAGAATTAGGCAAATTAGAATATAAATTAGTGTTTTATTGTGAATTGAGGTTTTATCCTCTATCCTTATATATTCACTTGTTCTAAGTGAATGCCTCCAGACTATTACTCATCACAAGTGTAATCTTGTGAATGCTGCTTAACATTGTCATTTGTGATATGTTATCTATGGGCATTTACGGTGAATTAATCTAATCATAGGTTTGGTTTCTGCTCAAACAGTAGTTTCAAGAATTGTATGTTTTAAGCGCTATTCAAGACGAATGATTGGTAGTGCACTTTGTTCACTTTCAAGAGGAAAATGTTTTTCAGTGACAGCGCGGAAATTGAGAAAATTGGGAAAGAAAAAAGAAAGATTTAGAAACCAAGTAGTCAAACATTGAAAATAGTAAGGTTCCTTATGAAACTAAAGAGCATACCACTAAATTCTATCTAAGCGCAACAATCCTAATGCGTTGTTATATCTTAAATAATATAAATACTCTTGATTGTTTCTATAAATGTAGAACATAAAAAAACAAAAAAAAAAAGATCAAAGATCGAATAAATTGATACTATATACAAAGAATAAATCATCTACCTATTTATGCAGCTTCTGGTTCTACTGTTTCAGTAGTCTTTTCTCTAAAAGCCTCAATAGCTTTCTTTCTCATAACATCTAGCAAGACACTTTGATGCTTTGGGTTATGAACAGGTAACTTTTGGTGTTCAACCAAATCGTGTCTCCAGTACTTTTCATCACCTTTATGCCATTCATTTGCCCAAAATATTGTGGTTCCTTCTAATTCAAATTCATCTATCACATGAGTCAAGTCAGCAACTGCTTCTTGGGTATAAGTGGGTCTGTATTGACCACTGTGCCAGATATGACCATCTTCACTTTTCTTTCTCATGCTGTTGGCTTCCTTTCGTTGATAGGTATCTCTAACACGTCTTAAATCAACCAACCCTTTGTATGCTGCAGTGGCATAATCATAGTTATCAAAATTTACAACACACATAATTTTCCATAAATCTTGTCTTCTTGATGGTTTTCTGTTTTGCCAATTTGGGTTAACAAATTGTTGGTTGATTTGATCATTATGATAAGCTGGAACCGGAGAATACAAAACTTGACCACTGAAAAGATTTCTAAATACAAAAACTTGTGGACCCAAATCATTCTTGACTAAATCTTCAGCACTTTTTTTACCTTCAGCTATTCTTGCACCATGTTGCACACGAGCTTTTAATTGCTCAATGAGGAATTTCCTCATTCTCTTTTCAGCTCTAGTACGAAATGTCATCTTGTTTATCCGGTTTGTCTGTCCTGTTTGATCTTGAAAGAATGACTATATCAATTATTAACTTCCAATGATTTTTCGGTTTTTTTTTTTTTTGCTTTTTCTTTTTCCTCTTTCTTCGCTCCATTCATTTTTTCTGTAGAGACAAAAAGTGAAAAATTTTTGGTCGTGTGCTTAAGGTTAAAATGAAAAAGAGATTTATGTGTGTGAGAAGCATGATGAAATTGACAGAAAAATATAATAGACTAAAGCCAACGATAACCACACCTGACACCTTTAATTTCTACAATCTTCTACCTCAACTCCCATCATGTCTCTACTAAGTACTACACCGTTTTTTGTAGTAGTACTGATTGTATTTATTTGGTCTTTCTTGTTTATCTTTAAGAAGAACCTTTTACAGAAATATTCAATTCATTTGCATATTCCTCAAAGTCAGATCAATGATTACTTAGACAAGAATTTAAAATCATTAAAGCTAATACGTGTTCAAATTGACGACGCCGAATCTGAAGATGAGTATTTAACTATGAAATCCAAGCCACTTATTCAAAAGAAGGAGGATACTCGAAACAACATCATAGGTTTGATTTTTAGCACAACCATGGCATTAAGTGTTGGATTGATATCATTGATCCTACTTGAATTGGGTGACCTGTTGGATGCCGATTATCGATTAGGGTTATTTAAGTTCACCATTAACACTTTGATGTTATTGCTAGTGATGGTGTTACCAATATCGATAATTAGTTTATTGATTGCGCAGGACGACTTGCCTCGAACTGTAAAATCAGTGGGGCTCATAATCGGATCGTATATTGGGTGGTTGGTTATTCTTCATAAATGTGGGGATTTAACTCAGTCTTTCAATACTGGCTCACGAAGTTTTATTGAAAAGATTATTAATCAAGTATCCATAGTAGGTATTACGATCTTGGCTATTTTATCAGGGGTTGGATCTACATCTACCCCATACAAAATATTTGAAAAGTACAAGTTGATTAATTCTGATGATCGCGAGGTCGGTGAATTGGACATAAATACAGCTATACAGTATTTCAATAACACTTCTACTTTGTTGGCTAAGCGTGAGCAGGAGCTTGAAAAGTTACAGATGGCTTCTGGTGGTACCATCTACAATTTGCCCGATAATGAATATTCCGAAGGAACATTGAAACCACCAAAGAGGTTGTCATTGTTAAATAGAGTCCAATCATTTGCACATATTCCAACAAAGAATACAGAGGAGAACGAATTAACAAATGAAATTGACTCTTTGAAGTCATTGAGAAATTCATTGTACAGTGATTTAATCAAGGCAATTTCAAGATATCACAATCAAAACTCTCAACAAAATATTGGTTTAGAAAGAGTTTTAGAGTGGGCCAATTGGGGTTTGGCTGTTTATTGTGTTTATCGTATTGTGAATGTGTTTCTTATAAAGCTTCCAATATTATTTTTTTATGGGGAACAGGACTACACTGTCCAATCTGAAGTTATTGATTCCGCTGAAGAACCGTCAATTAGTAAAGATGCATTGGCTATTACATTATCCAAAGTAATTTTGACAATTTTCTACAACTTACCAGTTTCTGAATCTCAGTTGGTCAACCAGTTGAGTTTTATCTTATCGGCAAGTTTATTCATATGTTCCTTCTCCAACGTTTTGACAACATTCAAATCATTCAGTAAGTTTTTCCCTGGACATCTGGGTTCAGCAACAGCAAAGACGTGGTTGAAGTATCTCGTAGTTGCAGAATTAGTTGGTGTATATGTCATTGCAACAGCTTTATTAATCAGAACCAATTTACCAGCAAACTTATCAAATCAAATTTCACAAATATTATCACTTTCAGGACATACTGTTCAAGCAGCAAACTCCTCTATTAAAGAAGTTGTGTTTATTGATAATTGGTTTGATAAGATATTTGCAATCACCTGTGTGGTCAGTGGGTTTGTGATTGTTGCTAAGAGACTTCTTGATGAAGATAGGTTAAACACTGGTGTTTCTTCATATGACGAAGAACTGTTTATTGAAGATGATGGCAGTACTTTCAAATTAGCATAGAATATAGGTATGTAGATTGTTTCAAAAAAAAAAAAGAAAAGTTATAGAAGATGTCATTATGAATTTAATTGCTGCAAACTCCGATATACATTGATGGTATTCTTTGGGAGCAAAAAAAATTACAATTGTACATACAATGAACGAAACAGCAACGGAACCTTGTCAGCTCACCTAATTGTTAGCGGCTCACTTTTCCTCATTGGAAAAAAAAAAAAAAAAAAATTCGTGTGGAAATTCAAACTGAAAAAAAAAAAAAAAAAAAAAAAAAAAAAGAACAGAAAAATCTTTTGACTCATTGAACACCAAACAACTTTTCGTTTTCGAATATCGTATCCACCATAATACAGTCCATTAGATATTTTCATAGAAGCATTCCTAGAGTAATGTCTACTGCAAGAACAAATATCCCGTTTTCCAGGGAATCCTTGGAACAAACTTTGAAAAGAAGATTTTTTTATGCCCCATCATTTGAAATTTATGGTGGTGTTGCTGGTTTATTCGATTTTGGACCACCAGGTTGTGCTTTCCAAAATAATGTCATTGATGCCTGGAGAAAACACTTTATTTTAGAAGAAGACATGTTGGAAGTTGAAGCTACCATGTTGACCCCACATGATGTTTTGAAAACTTCCGGTCATGTTGATAGATTCACCGATTGGATGTGTAAAGATTTGAAGTCAGGTGAAATTTTCCGTGCTGACCATTTGGTTGAAGAAGTCTTGGAAGCAAGATTGAAAGGTGATAAATTAGCCAGAGGTGAAAAAATCAGTGAAGAAGAAGATGAAGACAAGAAAAAGAGAAAAAAGAAGGTTAAGGAAATCAAGAATGTTAAATTGGATGATGAAGTTGTTAAGGAATATGAAAACGTCTTGGCACAAATTGATGGTTTCTCTGGTCCACAATTGGGTGAATTAATTGTCAAATACAATATCACCAACCCAACAACTGGTGGTAAATTGGAACCACCAATCGAATTCAACTTGATGTTTGATACTGCTATTGGTCCATCTGGTAACTTGAAAGGTTATTTGAGACCAGAAACTGCTCAAGGTCAATTCTTGAACTTTAACAAATTATTGGAATTCAACAATGACAAGATGCCATTTGCTTCTGCCTCAATTGGTAAATCTTTCAGAAATGAAATTGCTCCAAGAGCTGGTTTATTGAGAGTTCGTGAATTCTTGATGGCTGAAATTGAGCATTACGTTGACCCTGAAGAAAAAAGTCATCCAAAATTCAATGATGTCAAAGATATTAAATTGAAATTCTTGCCAAAGAATGTTCAAGAATCTGGTTCTACTGAATTGATTGAAGAATCTATTGGTAAAGCTGTTTCTTCTGGAATGGTTGACAACGAAACTTTGGGTTACTTTATTGCTAGAATCTACCAATTTTTGATTAAAATTGGTGTTGATCCATCCAGATTGAGATTCAGACAACATATGTCCAATGAAATGGCCCATTATGCCTCCGATTGTTGGGATGCTGAATTGCAAACTTCATACGGTTGGATCGAATGTGTCGGTTGTGCTGATAGATCCGCTTATGATTTATCTGTTCATTCCGCTAGAACTGGTGAAAAATTAGTTGCTAGACAAGCATTGGCTGAACCACGTACTGTTGAAAATTTCGAAATCGAAATTGCCAAGAAGAAGTTTGGTCCAAAATTCAGAAAAGATGCCGGTACTGTTGAAAAATGGTTAACTTCTAGAACACAATGTGAATTAGAAGATTTGGGTAAAGAATTGGAAGCTAACGGTAAAATTGTTGTTCAAGTTAAAGGTGTTGAAGGTGATATTGAATTGGATACTGATTTGATCAAGATTGAAAAAGTCAAAAGAACTGAACACGTTAGAGAATTTGTTCCTAATGTTATTGAACCATCTTTTGGTATTGGTCGTATCTTGTACTCCATTTTCGAACATCAATTCTGGTGTAGACCAGATGATGCCGACAGAGGTGTTTTATCTCTTCCACCGATTGTTGCTCCAACTAAAGTCTTGTTGGTTCCATTGTCTAACAACCCTGAATTGCAACCAGTTGTTAAGAAAGTTTCTCAAGCTTTAAGAAAAGAAAAGATTCCATTCAAGATTGATGACTCTGGTGCTTCTATTGGTAAGAGATATGCAAGAAATGATGAATTGGGTACTCCATTTGGTATTACTATTGATTTTGACTCTGTTAAAGATGATTCTGTAACCTTGAGAGAAAGAGACTCCACAAAACAAGTCAGAGGTTCAATTGAAGAAATCGTTGAAGCCATTAAGGACATCACCTATAACGATGGTACCTGGGCAGAAGGTACTGCTAAACTTAAGCCATTTGAAGGTCAATCCGCTTAGATTACTCTAGACTGTGTATTTTAAATTTTGTTTTGTTTAAGTAGATAATATAAACCTGTATAGCAAAGGGCATTTGTAAATCATTTCGATTAATACTTTCATAATTTCTTAGCCAAATATTTCTTGTAAGAATGCTTCGGAATTTGGTTCACGACCCAACAATTCAACCAAGTTATCTTTGATTTCTTTTGAACCACCTGGTTTCAAAATAATATCTCTGTATCTGATACCATTAGTGACATTCATTGGATCATCTTTAAAAAGAGAATAGTAAATATCGGCAGCATAAACCAAAGAATATAAATACCCATAGTATCCACTTTCGTACCCACCTGCAATATGTCCAAATGATGCATAACCCTTGGTGGTCTCACCATCACTAGGAAGCAAAGTGACTTCCAGTCTCAATCTGTTCCAAGTTTCAAACAAGTTCAATGCATCAAGTTCGTCTTTAGTAGCAACTGTGTGTAATTCCATATCAAAGATACCAAAAAACAATTGACGTAAGTTGAACAAGCCAGTGTTCACATGTTTGGTGCTTATTAATTGATCAATTAATTCGTCACTAATAGGTTCACCAGTTTTGTAATGAGACGACAATTCTTTGAGTTCATTTTTCGACCAAGTCCAATATTCCAACATTTGTGATGGAGTTTCAACAAAATCACGTTCAACATGAGTTCCGTGGAATCTTGAGTATTTGGTTTTTGACAAAATATTATGAATACCATGACCCAACTCGTGGAAAAATGTAGTAACTTCATTGTGTTTTAACAAAGAAGGCTTATCTTTGCTTGGCTTGGTGAAATTACAAACCAATACAGTAATTGGAGTGTGTCTAGTTTTACCATCGGATTCCAAGTAACCTGGACCCAATCCAAAATTGGCAGCATGTCCATATTTACCTTCTCTAGGATGTAAGTCAAAAAATATCCATCCCATAAACTCCAATTTGTCTTTACCATCTTTGATATTCTGGTAAATAGCAAACTGTTGAACGTCTGGGTGCCAAACTGCACCAGCCTCTAAATTATCAACTTTAACAAACTTGATATCAAATATCTTTTCATAGAATCCAAGCATTTTCGATACAGTAGATTCCAATGGAAAGTATTCAGCAATCTTGGTATGATCAACTTTGTATTTCTTTTCTAACAATCTTTCATTGTAATAGTTGTAGTCCCAACTGTAGAATTCTTCTTCTGGCTCTAATCCTCGAGCTTGTAAATCTTGGGCTTTGAAGTCCTTCAAAGCTTTTAATTCTTCTTGCGCAACGGGGGTTAATTTGCTTCTCAAATCAGATAAAAAGCTCAAGACGGTTTCTTTGGTTTTTGCTAATCTCTCTTCCAAAACATAGTCGGAATAGGTATCATACCCTAAAAGTTTGGCAATCTCGTATCTAATCTTGATGATTTCCTCTAAAATAGGACCATTCTCAGAGCATCTATTTCCATAGCCAATATTAGCAACTTTTCTGGTGTTAGAGACATTGGCATGCTTGAAAATAGGGAAGATATCAGGATACTTGAAAGTTACTTTCAATTTACCGTCAACTTCTTCATATTGGTTGATTGTATCCTCTGGAATTCCATCCAATTCTTCTTTGTCGAACAATAAATATCCTTTGTCCTCATTCAAAGTTTTGGAAAATTGAACTCTCAAATTGTTCAATTCAACTTGTAATTTCTTGACTTTTTCTCTTGTTTCGGATGGCAAAGCTAAACCATTTCTTTTGAAAGAAGTGATTGTCTTTTCCAAGTATCTCTTGGACTCAGGGTCCAATTCGGCATCATCTTTAACAGTATCCAATAATTTCTGGAACACTTTGTATACATCTTCTCTAGACCATTGTTCAATGGAATTGTTATCGATGATTTCTTCACCTTTTGTTGAAGCGTCACGCAACTCCTTATTAGTTGAAACGTGTTGATAAAAGGTGATTTGGCCTTCTGGGAAACTATTGTCATTGTAATGCTTTGAAAACGGTTTTAATACATTTTCGATTGTTGGATTTTCAATGCTGGCAATTTGGTCAAACAATTTGGTTTCATTGGTAGCTATTTCATTTGCGAGGTCTAATACTTGTTCTGGGGTGTGTTCCCAAAGCGGGTATTTTTGATCCTTTACAATGGTTGGGAAATCAATTGACATGTTTCGGTAGTATATTTGATAGACAAAATATGATACAAGAACAATTGCTAAATAAGACAAGTTCATAACATATACAAAAAAAAAATGGAAGGCGAATTAGTGATACCCCAACTCTTTTATAAGTTGTTATTTTTTTATTGTTTTTTATTTTTTGTTCAACCTTATGTTTCAAACAATGCCAAGCCGAGCGGAGCAAAAATCAAAACTGGCGGTGGGTGGCAAAGGACGGTACCAGGTTGGCATCGAGTAAACTTATTTCCTCCCTTTCTTTTTTTGGTGCGTGTTCAAAAGTTTATTCGTACGAGAAAACACCACTTACACATACGGCCCCAATTAATCTAAAATGCTGAGATTAAACACAGATCTTAAAAATGTCATAGTAAATTCGTGATCATAACCAGAAGCCAATTGGGGGGGCTGAGTCAAAATTAGTAAAAACTTGGATGGTGTTCTCAATTCAATTTTAGTGGTTGGATATTCTACTCCTCGTCGATAGATGGCACACTGGTTAACTTGATAATAGCCACTCTTGTGACCGAATTATTATCTATTGACCTTCATAAATCATAAGTATGGTGATTAATAACATCATGATCAGGATTTCTACATTTCTAATTATCGATTATGTTTGGTTGGTTTTTTTTACTTGATAATTGTTGCAAATTTAAATTGAAATTTTTAAAAATTGTTCCAGTAAACAATTCCAAAATTTAAGAAGAAGGCACTTTCAATGATTTGCACACTGTCAACTTTCTAAAATCTCAAAAACTTAAACTACAAGATATTGCTACTTCTCTAATAAAGATATCATAAACAATTGACCAGTTTTCAGGTGTCTTACGGGTATAATCATCGTTAGTATCCCATAAGTTGAAAATTGAACAAGAACACGACAACTTACTCAGAGACGTGCACGCACAAAAAGTAAACAAAATGATCGTGCAGTGCACAATTTGTAGTGTGTATTTTTCAATCATTCAGTTTAACGTCAGTCAGAAAAAACTAACGCGAAAACAAAATTGTCCAATAAATTCCTGCATATATCAAGTAAAGATTCGCGGCCTTTCTTCTTAACTATGGGAATTATGTTTTAATTAGTTGAACGTTAAATTTTAACGTCAGTCAAAAAGTATAACAACGCGAAATCAAAAAGATGCCTAACAAATTCCTGCATATATAACCTACACTTTCTTTCTTTAGGAAACCACTTTTCTACCAACATTCAAATCTGATGGTTTTAGGTTAATCACCAAGGTATAAACTACATCAAGACTTATGCCCCACATTTAATAGAGTGCCCAAACCGTGGATTTTAGAATTTCATTTCCTATAAACTAAATACTTTTGAATACCATATCTAACTAATATTCCTCATCTGATACATCTTCCATTTCTTCATCTTGTGCTTGGGAATAATTAGATTGAGTAGTTTCGTGTAATCTTCTTAACTTATTCATTACTGGGATTACAAAGGGTCGAATTTCATTAATTTCTAATAATGATAAACCGTTTAATTGAATATTGGATTCGTTCAATTCTTTGAACCCCTTCTTTGTTTTAACCAATCTGACCTCACGTAAATCTTGGATTACTGATCGCAATTGATCAACTGGGTCCAGTAAATCATCTGATGCCTTGTCTAATAAAATCTTTGAAACTTCTAACCAATTCCATGGTAAATCACTAAACTGAAGTGGTTTACGGACTTCATCATCATACTTTTCTTTTAGAAACGCCACATTAAGCCATTTTGGTGGAACGATACTACATTTATCTTGAGATTTTAGAATTAATGCAACCCATAAAGGAACCTGCTCTCTTCTCATAGCCCGTAGGTTTGGAATCCTTGTTCCGATAAGATCTATTTTTTTAATCGAATACCTTGGAAGAACTGTAATGAGTTCGTTCTCAGCAAAGAATGTGATTTCTGAAGGAGGGAAATTCCCTTGTAAGCTAGACGGAAGAACCATGTCGTTGATATCTCTTGATGCAATCACGTTGACCAAACAGTCTTGATTATTTTTTTCTATTTTTTTTTTTTTTTTTTTTTTTTCTCCCAGTCGTTCAATACGCGTCGTTGGTTTTATTGCCAGTAACATGAATACTACAAGAACATGCTTAGAACGTTGAATTTCAAAACAAAAGTTATAATTATACATTTAATTTATCTGTCTATTGACAATTATCCATAGATTATGATAATTGTTCGAGTAACGCTGTAGTTCCTGGATTGTTTTCATTTGTATGCTCACTAACCTTAGTAGCTGCGGTATTATGTTCAGCTTTGCTACATATTTCTTTCAAATTACCTAGCCTTTTTTGAAAAGCACTTTTTTGTTGGCATCGGAACAATTCATCAAAGAGCTCTTCTGTCGGTTGTCTGACATGCATGTAATTACACCTTCCACCACGATCGCATCCTCCATTATCATAGGCTCGACAATGAGCTTCTTCAAAATCAGACACTGGAGATAATTCACTGTATACTGGTCTTTCATTAAACCATTCAGAATTCAACTGCCTATTGACGAACCCTGCATCTTCTTCACTGAAAAACTGCACATACACATTACCATTAAGATGATCGTTCTGGTTTTCACACACGGAAAGTTTATAAATTGGCCTCATCTGTGAGATGTGAACAAAAACATCTGCATAGAATTGATCAAAATATTCTTGTATTTCTTCTTCAGTGGGATCAACTTCAGATTCTTCTACCTCTTTTTGTTGCTGCAGTTTTTCTTCCTTATCTTCTTGTGGTTCCTCTTCATTCGCCATTTCTACTTCAGTTTTCCCGCTTTCACTGGCTGGGATTAGTTGCTCAGATCCATTGTCGGTATTATTACTCTTCTTTACTTTTGGATTTTGATAAAGATTTGCAAGCATAATGGTATTGGAAGAATTTGGCCTTATATGTTTCTTGGAACAGTTTTCACCATGACGACAAGCTCCTATCCTAGTATAAAACAAACATACAACTAAGTTTTCTCTTCCATTGACATTATTTCGTAGCTGGTTTCCGTCTCTGGGTTGTGATGGACGTGGAGGTAAGTCACTTGGTGTGGCGTATGACATGGATAATAGTTGATGGGTATTTGTATGGTTTTGCCTTTCCTTTTTTTTTTCTCATTTTTTTTCTTCTTTGTACGATGACCACTTTAATTTTCCTGTGGTTTTAGGAATGGAGTAGATTTATCACCAGAACTTGGGAAATGAGTCTTTTGAAACCCATTAAGCAATGAACTACATATATAATAACACCAATGATGCATACGACTAACAAATATCTTAAAAAGGGTCTCGTATATTTTTATATTGCATAGTTTTATTTAGCAGTATAAGAGATATAGTTCAGACCAGTACTATTCAAAATCTTTCATTATTTTTAGATTTCAGATTCAACCGTCATTTTGTCATTTCTCTTAAATTGCAGTAATTTCTAGCCGAATTAGTTAAAGATATTATTATCATGAAACTTCAAGGTCTGATGATTGATTATTTCGTATTTGATGAGTGCTCAGTGTATTGGCCATGCAAGTATATGTACGTATTAGTTAAGAAACAGTAATAATTTCTTACCATCCCACCCATTCAAGAATTTCCAAGACAAAAGTCCATCCATTGTGTTGAAGATAATATTTATATGTAATAAATAATACTACCAGCTTGAAATTGACCTCCAACCGTTAGCAGCACATTGCTTTATTTTATTGTGTTTTACAATATATCGCTTGCTATATAAACCGAACTAAGACTTTATTTGCATAATCCAGAAATACAATTTGAGAGGAATTGCTTTCAAAAATACTACTGTATTAAATAGGATATTCTAGACGACTTTTCATGGCTGGAGGATATTGATATTGTAGTTTTCATTCTCCATTTTCATAACGATCAGTACTACCCCAAGATTGATAATTTTTTGTTTTTGTTCATTTATCGTTCCTCACACAAAGATCTTCGATGTTTGGAGTATTTTACATCTTTAATAGGTAATTATTCACTATTACAAGAAAATAAGAATCGAAGCTACCTTCAGTTCCCAAAATTTGTAAATCTATTATCACTCTATTTGGTTTATGTTTTTTTTTTGTTGTTGTGTATTGCAGTTTTGTCATTTGGTCCAAGCCATGAACTCTACTATATAACACATAACCGTATTCCCCATAAGCAGTCACATTCTATACTAATTCATACTTCATAAATCTATTGATTTTAGTCAATTTTTATCTCAAGAGTTTCTGTGATATTATTTCTTCTTGTAACTAGAAGAAGAATATAGATCAAATTAAAATTAAAAAATAATATTCACCAATAAAGAGTTCATCTAGAGCATCAATGTTTAACCCGTTAGTCATGATAGCTAATACATCTTTACTAGTGGAGTGATTATTTTTTTTTTAAAAAGTAGAATTGTGATTATTATCCAGAAAGTTCATAATATACCCAGTGATTTTACGTTCACTACGGGGAGTAGCTCCCCACTCGACAGAAGGATACTAGTGGACATGATATATAAAACACCGATAATTTGACCAAACTAAACTATTTTTAACATTTTGACATAATCTTTCAATTTTGTTTAGAAATCTCATATTTTTTTACGGCAACTGCTATACTATCTCTGGTAATGAAGACAAGATCAATATTGTCTTACCTTTTGCTAGCATCAGTTACTATAGCTGCTGGTGCATTTAAAATCAAAACAATTTACAAAAACACAGATTTATACTTAAAAGTCAATTTTGAAACTGACCAAGTATTTTTAGGAAAACAAAAGGGAGATGACTTTCAATTATCCGAAGAGTCATATTTGGTGCTTTCCGATGATCATTCCAGCGTAATTGCTCATCAAGAGAACGATATAATCCAAGCAAATGCATTAACTACTGAATATTCGTTTCCTCTTTGGAAAATCACCAGCGACAACTATCTTATTTATGAGGTACCATTGTATGCATGTTTGCATTCCTCCTCATATTTAGTTACAGTCAACCCTACACTTTTTGCTAACCACGAAGTTGATTGTTTCAGTGTTACAAACTTAATGCCAGTGAAGGAAAAACGCGTACCTCAAAATTTTTTGGTGGAGAATAACGCTGCGACAAAACTTCATCAACTTAAATCAAATCACGAAATCCTTGTTGAGTCAAATAAAGACAAAACAGGTTCATTTATCCACAATATTAAGCTAGATAATGGTGCAGTTTTTATTAATAATTATGAGAAAAAATTGCATAAAGAATTGTTGAAAAGAGATGATCCACCAGTGGACCCAAGCAAACCAATGATTATACAGGGCCAAATTGCAGAGACCACTGGTTTCTTCTTTATTACCGGTGAGTTTGTCATGATAAGAGAAGGAGATGCTTTAGATGCCGCTAAATTCACTATAGATTCAGGATATCTAAAAGTTGGCAGCAATTATATTGACGAGTACGACGGAAAATTAGTGGCTAATGATGATCCGCTTGGCCCAGCACAATGGACAACAATCGACAATCAAATATATTTCGGGGCTGAACCTGAATTGGTTCATTTCTATGGCTGCGAGGGTAAGGTTTCTGTTGACAGCTCCGGCGGATGCGAAGAGATCACGCTGATTGTGATCAAGAACTTTGAGTTTGTACCTGTGGAAAACACTGTGGACGGAAGTTTGCCAATGGCTATCAGTGGTACATTAGATGAAGCAAGTGTGATTCTTTCTACCGACAACGATGAAGTGATTGTATTTGGAGGTGATCTTGTTGATGCTACGAAATTCACACTCTCTGGCAGGTACTTGAAGGCTGGGGACAGGTATGTTGCAATTGACGGTGGTGCTTTGGTTGTTGTTGAAACCAGTGGCGAAGCGACTTCGGGCTGGATTCTTTCTGGAGACCACTTGTTCTTCGGGGAAGACCCTGAATTGGTTCATTTCTATGGCTGCGAGGGTAAGGTTTCTGTTGACAGCTCCGGCGGATGCGAAGAGATCACACTGATTGTGATCAAGAATTTCAATTTCGAGGCACAGATCAACACAGTGGACCCCACCAATGCCATGCTCATTCAAGGTCAATTCGATTCGCAGGAAGTTACTATTTCTACATCTGGTGACGAAGTCACAGTGTTTACGGGGGACGATGTTGATGCTGCCAAGTTCACTATTGTCAACCGTTACTTGAAGGCTGGGGACAGGTATGTTGCAATTGACGGTGGTGCTTTGGTTGTTGTTGAAACCAGTGGCGAAGCGACTTCGGGCTGGATTCTTTCTGGAGACCACTTGTTCTTCGGGGAAGACCCTGAATTGGTTCATTTCTATGGCTGCGAGGGTAAGGTTTCTGTTGACAGCTCCGGCGGATGCGAAGAGATCACGCTGATTGTGATCAAGAATTTCAATTTCGAGGCACAGATCAACACAGTGGACCCCACCAATGCCATGCTCATTCAAGGTCAATTCGATTCGCAGGAAGTTACTATTTCTACATCTGGTGACGAAGTCACAGTGTTTACGGGGGACGATGTTGATGCTGCCAAGTTCACTATTGTCAACCGTTACTTGAAGGCTGGGGACAGGTATGTTGCAATTAACGGTGGTTCTTTGGTTGTTGTTGGAGACGAGGGTGATGCTCAAAGAGGATGGATTCTTTCTGGAGACCACTTGTTCTTCGGGGAAGACCCTGATTTGGTGCATTTCTTTGGCTGCGAGAGTATGCTTTCTGTAGACAGCTCCGGCGGATGCGAAGAGATCACGCTGATTGTGATCAAGAACTTTGAGTTTGTACCTGTGGAAAACACTGTGGACGGAAGTTTGCCAATGGCTATCAGTGGTACATTAGATGAAGCAAGTGTGATTCTTTCTACCGACAACGATGAAGTGATTGTATTTGGAGGTGATCTTGTTGATGCTACGAAATTCACACTCTCTGGCAGGTACTTGAAGGCTGGGGACAGGTATGTTGCAATTGACGGTGGTGCTTTGGTTGTTGTTGAAACCAGTGGCGAAGCGACTTCGGGCTGGATTCTTTCTGGAGACCACTTGTTCTTCGGGGAAGACCCTGAATTGGTTCATTTCTATGGCTGCGAGGGTAAGGTTTCTGTTGACAGCTCCGGCGGATGCGAAGAGATCACGCTGATTGTGATCAAGAACTTTGAGTTTGTACCTGTGGAAAACACTGTGGACGGAAGTTTGCCAATGGCTATCAGTGGTACATTAGATGAAGCAAGTGTGATTCTTTCTACCGACAACGATGAAGTGATTGTATTTGGAGGTGATCTTGTTGATGCTACGAAATTCACACTCTCTGGCAGGTACTTGAAGGCTGGGGACAGGTATGTTGCAATTGACGGTGGTGCTTTGGTTGTTGTTGAAACCAGTGGCGAAGCGACTTCGGGCTGGATTCTTTCTGGAGACCACTTGTTCTTCGGGGAAGACCCTGAATTGGTTCATTTCTATGGCTGCGAGGGTAAGGTTTCTGTTGACAGCTCCGGCGGATGCGAAGAGATCACACTGATTGTGATCAAGAATTTCAATTTCGAGGCACAGATCAACACAGTGGACCCCACCAATGCCATGCTCATTCAAGGTCAATTCGATTCGCAGGAAGTTACTATTTCTACATCTGGTGACGAAGTCACAGTGTTTACGGGGGACGATGTTGATGCTGCCAAGTTCACTATTGTCAACCGTTACTTGAAGGCTGGGGACAGGTATGTTGCAATTGACGGTGGTGCTTTGGTTGTTGTTGAAACCAGTGGCGAAGCGACTTCGGGCTGGATTCTTTCTGGAGACCACTTGTTCTTCGGGGAAGACCCTGAATTGGTTCATTTCTATGGCTGCGAGGGTAAGGTTTCTGTTGACAGCTCCGGCGGATGCGAAGAGATCACACTGATTGTGATCAAGAATTTCAATTTCGAGGCACAGATCAACACAGTGGACCCCACCAATGCCATGCTCATTCAAGGTCAATTCGATTCGCAGGAAGTTACTATTTCTACATCTGGTGACGAAGTCACAGTGTTTACGGGGGACGATGTTGATGCTGCCAAGTTCACTATTGTCAACCGTTACTTGAAGGCTGGGGACAGGTATGTTGCAATTGACGGTGGTGCTTTGGTTGTTGTTGAAACCAGTGGCGAAGCGACTTCGGGCTGGATTCTTTCTGGAGACCACTTGTTCTTCGGGGAAGACCCTGAATTGGTTCATTTCTATGGCTGCGAGGGTAAGGTTTCTGTTGACAGCTCCGGCGGATGCGAAGAGATCACGCTGATTGTGATCAAGAACTTTGAGTTTGTACCTGTGGAAAACACTGTGGACGGAAGTTTGCCAATGGCTATCAGTGGTACATTAGATGAAGCAAGTGTGATTCTTTCTACCGACAACGATGAAGTGATTGTATTTGGAGGTGATCTTGTTGATGCTACGAAATTCACACTCTCTGGCAGGTACTTGAAGGCTGGGGACAGGTATGTTGCAATTGACGGTGGTGCTTTGGTTGTTGTTGAAACCAGTGGCGAAGCGACTTCGGGCTGGATTCTTTCTGGAGACCACTTGTTCTTCGGGGAAGACCCTGAATTGGTTCATTTCTATGGCTGCGAGGGTAAGGTTTCTGTTGACAGCTCCGGCGGATGCGAAGAGATCACACTGATTGTGATCAAGAATTTCAATTTCGAGGCACAGATCAACACAGTGGACCCCACCAATGCCATGCTCATTCAAGGTCAATTCGATTCGCAGGAAGTTACTATTTCTACATCTGGTGACGAAGTCACAGTGTTTACGGGGGACGATGTTGATGCTGCCAAGTTCACTATTGTCAACCGTTACTTGAAGGCTGGGGACAGGTATGTTGCAATTAACGGTGGTTCTTTGGTTGTTGTTGGAGACGAGGGTGATGCTCAAAGAGGATGGATTCTTTCTGGAGACCACTTGTTCTTCGGGGAAGACCCTGAATTGGTTCATTTCTATGGCTGCGAGGGTAAGGTTTCTGGTGACAGCTCCGGCCGATGCGAAGAGATCACACTGATTGTGATCAAGAATTTCAATTTCGAGGC